GGCAAAACAGGTGGTGTCGTATGTCACCGCATTCCTCTACACATATGGCTTCAATCTCTGTTCCTGTGTTGGTTCCAATTCACAAGCTCTTCTTCCTTTAAATGAAGCTACAAATAAACATAACACAAAACAAAAAAATCTCTCATCACTCATATATCATGTTTAACCTGAGTAATGAAAGACGGCGGTGGGTTTGAAAACGATTTGCCGGGAGTCCGGTGTTCTCACGGCGCTAGTGACCTAGCCCCCGGCTAGCTATCGAGCTAGTGGGTAACAGACGTCTCCGAAAACGTCGGAGCGCTTTTGAAAATATGTGGTGTCCTGATAAACTGAGCAGATATTTGAGGTTTACACAGCTACATTCTCGCCTGAAAATATGTTAAACGTTTATTTTGTGACCCAGAAAGAATAATAAGAGTAATATTAAAACTAACTAGCTGCCGCCATTGTTGGAAACTAAGCTGGGCGCGCTATGAATTCTGGGACACAGCTGCTTCTTCTTCTTCGGGGTTTAACGGCAGCTGGCATCCTTGTACATGCAGTGCTGCCATCTTCTGTTTCAGTCCGTTATTACACTCTTAAATCCTGCTACTTATTCCTGCGTCTTTTGGTGATCTTACAAAGCTTCAAACGACGCGTCGACTATTAAATCAGTCGTCGACGATTTTGATAGTCGACGTAATCGTGACTAGTCGACTAATCGTGGCAGCCCTAATAACAAGCAGGTGAGGTGGGTTGTGAGTGCATATTGATTACTCTGTGAAAGTAGGTTCAGTCTTCAGTGTGATGTAATTGGTAGCAATAGCAGGTCGTCCACTTGATCCCGGACTGCTCCAGTCTGATTACAAAGTATCCTTGAGCAAGAAACTGAAGCGAGTTGTTCTGAGATGCATTCATCTGATTGTGAATGTGTGAATAAAACACTTTGCGTGAGTAGAGTTTATTTACCCTTTAATCTGTGCCTACGCAGCCCGGTGTTTGCGTGTGACTAACACAGGAAGTAGACGGTTTCTTTAGTGCCTGCGTGTGCTAATAAAGAGTGTTTGCATCACGCTGCAGGTTAAAGCAGAGGAGGTCGACCTGCAAAGCGCCGCCCCACTTTCTGACAACCTTATTGACTTCACTGATCCAGCTCCTGTGGTAAGAATTACTGCACTGTGTCCTGAATAATCTGCAGTGAAACTCCAACTGCATGTGTGTGGGTTAAAGTAGACCTTTAGCATGGATGCTAACATTCTTCTGACGTTGTTGTAGCTCCCACCGGTGCAGCCGACCAAACCTCTCATCACACCGCGCTGGATCGTCCCCACAGCCGCTGTGAGTTTATCAGCCTCATTTTTTAAAAGTTCACCTGTTTGTTTTTTCCAGGTTTGGCTGTGAGATGTTAAAATGTTTTAGAAGCTGTTTTAACCACGAGGCTTTGGACTTCTCTGCACTTCCATAGTCGCTGTGCAGTTTGGCTAATGTAGAGGCGCTGTAGACACTGACCGCCGACCTTCTCCTTCACCCCCTTCTCACGCAGCCTCCCGGCGCCTTTACTAACGGCCTGCTCGACCTTGACCCGCCGCCTAAGGTCAACCCTCTTCTCCCTTCAGATGGGGGAGCATCCCTCACCTCAGCCCTCCCTCACCTCACTCACACACGTAACGCCGTCTCCACCCTCTCCACCAGGTAAAAGTGTTTGCATATTGAACCCAAAGTTTGTTTTTTACATCGCAGCCGTCGCTGAAGAGCACGAAACGTCTCCTCCTCACTTCACTGAGCCTGAAGTTTCAGAAGAGAACATCCCTGAGAGTTTAACAGGAATCGTTAAGAGCATTTTGTTTGTGGAGGAAGAGACAGCAAAGCAAATTACAGTTGTTTTTCAGGTCCTTTATACACAGCTTTTTCTTAGTTTTTTATCATTTTGTTTGTGAATGAATCAGTATTAAACAATCAAATGAAAAACAATACTGAACAGCAGGTGTTTCAGTGACAGCAAGTCAGAACATCACAAATCAAACTTTCTGTGAGGATCTCGGAGTTCAAGCAGACGTCTCATTCACGCCTCAGTTCTTCAAAAGTTGTGATTAGAAGAGTCTGAAGGATACGACTCTTTAACCTCGTAATGTGACGGTGTGTCTGGTTCTTTTATGTTTTCCTCAAATCGATTTTTAAACTCACACAGCGATCACCAAACTGAGCTCAAGATCACATTTGTGCTTTGTCACCTGTAAATAGCGATGGAGCTGGTTTCACTTTGTCAGACTCTAAAAACACGGGTGGACGTTTTAGCGTTTTCATGCAGGTCTAATGAGAAATTTATTGAAAAATAAAAGCTGCAGTCAGAAAAACCCAAAAAACCCACAGAAGGCAAATATATGGAAGAGGATTAGTGCCAGCGAAAATTCTGTTGCAGAATTCTGAGAAAAGTCAGAATTCTGACTTCAAGTCTGGAAACGAAGAAGAAAAAAGACGTTTTTTTCCATACAAATAAAAGGACGAGTGATTTTTATTTTCTTTCTTTTGTTTTGTGTGTACAGTAGCTTAAATATATGTATTTAAGCCTTGCATTTTGTTTTCCATACAGTAAGTCATTTCTGATTCATAGGTTTATACATACAGGTTCGAGCCACGGCTTGGACAGTCTCAGTCGTTGTGTCCTTGGGCGAGACACTTCACCCGTTGCCTACTGGTGGTGGTCAGAGGGCCCGGTGGCGCCAGTGTCCGGCAGCCTCGCCTCTGTCAGTGCGCCCCAGGGCAGCTGTGGCTACAATGTAGCTGCCATCAGCAGTGTGTGGATGTGTGGATGACTGGATGTGTAAAGCGCTTTGGGGCCCTTAGGGACGAGTAAAGCACTGTACAAATACAGGCCATTTACCATCAAATCTGGGCTTTCAATGTCACTTTATTTCTCCAGTGTTTCGAAGCTCCTACGAGGTCGTAAGTGTGAGATATGGACGGTTTATAGAAGCCTGACTGCTAACCATGTGACCTTAACTTCTCGGCCATTTTGGACACACAACAATGTAAATTCAGTGCATAACATTTAATACATATATTTAAGCTACTGTACACACAAAACAAAAGAAAGAAAATAAAAATCACTCGTCCTTTTATTTGTATGGAAAAAAACGTCTTTTTTCTTCTTCGTTTCCAGACTTGAAGTCAGAATTCTGACTTTTCTCAGAATTCTGCAACAGAATTTTCGCTGGCACTAATCCTCTTCCATATATTTGCCTTCTGTGGGTTTTTTGGGTTTTTCTGACTGCAGCTTTTATTTTTCAATAAATTTCTCATTAGACCTGCATGAAAACGCTAAAACGTCCACCCGTGTTTTTAGAGTCTGACAAAGTGAAACCAGCTCCATCGCTATTTACAGGTGACAAAGCACAAATGTGATCTTGAGCTCAGTTTGGTGATCGCTGTGTGAGTTTAAAAATCGATTTGAGGAAAACATAAAAGAACCAGACACACCGTCACATTACGAGGTTAAAGAGTCGTATCCTTCAGACTCTTCTAATCACAACTTTTGAAGAACTGAGGCGTGAATGAGACGTCTGCTTGAACTCCGAGATCCTCACAGAAAGTTTGATTTGTGATGTTCTGACTTGCTGTCACTGAAACACCTGCTGTTCAGTATTGTTTTTCATTTGATTGTTTAATACTGATTCATTCACAAACAAAATGATAAAAAACTAAGAAAAAGCTGTGCATAAAGGACCTGAAAAACAACTGTAATTTGCTTTGCTGTCTCTTCCTCCACAAACAAAATGCTCTTAACGATTCCTGTTAAACTCTCAGGGATGTTCTCTTCTGAAACTTCAGGCTCAGTGAAGTGAGGAGGAGACGTTTCGTGCTCTTCAGCGACGGCTGCGATGTAAAAAACAAACTTTGGGTTCAATATGCAAACACTTTTACCTGGTGGAGAGGGTGGAGACGGCGTTACGTGTGTGAGTGAGGTGAGGGAGGGCTGAGGTGAGGGATGCTCCCCCATCTGAAGGGAGAAGAGGGTTGACCTTAGGCGGCGGGTCAAGGTCGAGCAGGCCGTTAGTAAAGGCGCCGGGAGGCTGCGTGAGAAGGGGGTGAAGGAGAAGGTCGGAGGTCAGTGTCTACAGCGCCTCTACATTAGCCAAACTGCACAGCGACTATGGAAGTGCAGAGAAGTCCAAAGCCTCGTGGTTAAAACAGCTTCTAAAACATTTTAACATCTCACAGCCAAACCTGGAAAAAACAAACAGGTGAACTTTTAAAAAATGAGGCTGATAAACTCACAGCGGCTGTGGGGACGATCCAGCGCGGTGTGATGAGAGGTTTGGTCGGCTGCACCGGTGGGAGCTACAACAACGTCAGAAGAATGTTAGCATCCATGCTAAAGGTCTACTTTAACCCACACACATGCAGTTGGAGTTTCACTGCAGATTATTCAGGACACAGTGCAGTAATTCTTACCACAGGAGCTGGATCAGTGAAGTCAATAAGGTTGTCAGAAAGTGGGGCGGCGCTTTGCAGGTCGACCTCCTCTGCTTTAACCTGCAGCGTGATGCAAACACTCTTTATTAGCACACGCAGGCACTAAAGAAACCGTCTACTTCCTGTGTTAGTCACACGCAAACACCGGGCTGCGTAGGCACAGATTAAAGGGTAAATAAACTCTACTCACGCAAAGTGTTTTATTCACACATTCACAATCAGATGAATGCATCTCAGAACAACTCGCTTCAGTTTCTTGCTCAAGGATACTTTGTAATCAGACTGGAGCAGTCCGGGATCAAGTGGACGACCTGCTATTGCTACCAATTACATCACACTGAAGACTGAACCTACTTTCACAGAGTAATCAATATGCACTCACAACCCACCTCACCTGCTTGTTATTAGGGCTGCCACGATTAGTCGACTAGTCACGATTACGTCGACTATCAAAATCGTCGACGACTGATTTAATAGTCGACGCGTCGTTTGAAGCTTTGTAAGATCACAAAAGACGCAGGAATAAGTAGCAGGATTTAAGAGTGTAATAACGGACTGAAACAGAAGATGGCAGCACTGCATGTACAAGGATGCCAGCTGCCGTTAAACCCCGAAGAAGAAGAAGCAGCTGTGTCCCAGAATTCATAGCGCGGCCCAGCTTAGTTTCCAACAATGGCGGCAGCTAGTTAGTTTTAATATTACTCTTATTATTCTTTCTGGGTCACAAAATAAACGTTTAACATATTTTCAGGCGAGAATGTAGCTGTGTAAACCTCAAATATCTGCTCAGTTTATCAGGACACCACATATTTTCAAAAGCGCTCCGACGTTTTCGGAGACGTCTGTTACCCACTAGCTCGATAGCTAGCCGGGGGCTAGGTCACTAGCGCCGTGAGAACACCGGACTCCCGGCAAATCGTTTTCAAACCCACCGCCGTCTTTTCTACTCAGGTTAAACATGATATATGAGTGATGAGAGATTTTTTTAGTTTTGTGTTATGTTTATTTGTAGCTTCATTTAAAGGAAGAAGAGCTTGTGAATTGGAACCACCACAACAGTAAAGCACAACAGTAGTCATTACCTGTGAGCGTGCAGTCACGTTACCTTTGGTGCCGGGGCTTCACTGGTCGACTCGGAGGACTTTTTGGGAACAGAAGCTTTTAAATCTTCAGCCAATCTCTCAGCGCTGAAAACAGGAGAAGAAATGGTATCACACAAGCATGTGACCGCGTACTTTTAACAACTTTTAACACTGCGAGTCACCAAAACCAGCAAAGACAGTTTCGCCACTTTTAAACTCAAATTTTAAGAGCACAAACTCACACAGCACAGCTAACTGTGCGTCTGCTTTTATGTGTCACTCTCTGCAGATACGGCAGCAGTATCCAGGCAGAACTCAAGTCATGTGATTTAACACACCCGGGCCGACACACAGACACACACATGCACGAATGCATTACTCAAACACACCAGCAGATGTCAGCAAAGACTATAAGGACTTTAATCTGCCCCATTAATGTTTCACTGCCTGTTTGGCTGATGCAGGACTTTACATTTATCTCTGTTAACATTATTTTAAACCGTTTGATCTAAATGTGCAACATGTTTTGTGTTAAGCTTACCGTAACACATTCTTGAAAACAAATCACCTTTTGCTAACTATGAAAAATCAAACTCTTTACCTTAACTTCAATCAACCTACAAAGCCAGGACACTTTGTCACTGGTCTTTGTCAAGGCCTTAACTATAACGTGTGAGAGATCTGATGCAACGAAGTACAAACCACAGTAATGTTTTGTTTTTCTAAACAAAGGCTCACCTGGCGCCTGCAGATGAGACCAGGGAGGATGGTGGCTTCAGCAGGTCCCAGGTGTCCTGGACGTCAGGGCGGCTGCTAACACAAAGAGACGAGTTACTGCACCTTCAACCTGGCAGAGAGACACACATAACGCTTATTCCTGCATAAAACATTCACGGTGGTTACCACAGAAAGACAGGAGATCAAACTTCTCCGACTACATGAGTAAAAAAATTACTTTAAACAGGTTTCATTATCATGAGTTTCAGTAGAAATGCTTTTAGAACAACATGCAAACAGGAAACATTTGCTAAAACCGTCAACAACAGAATCTGCCAAATCCAACGTTGTTTATTCTGCAGCCTGAGTCGCTCGCTGCTTCGGTTACGAGCCGTCGTGGACTCGTTTGTCATTCTGTGGAGCACTGCCGAGCTGCGGCTGACGTAACGTTGTGAGCTATGCTAATAATCCTTATAAATATTCAAGAGGTTAATCAGCTCGAGCAGCAGCGAGCGCTGTGATTGGCTGGGATGAAGCACTGACAGTTGGCATGACTCAGTAAGATGAAGGAACGAAGGCCGAGTTTCAAGACAACGAGGCGCGGTGACAGTGTGCCCTGTGCCGATAGCACGGTGCGCTCTGAAGAGCTGCTTAATGCAAAGATCCTAAAGGGTTAAATAACAGTCTGAGTGGAAACGTGATTCTATTTTCTTTCATTCTGAAGCTGAACATAAGAAGTTATCATATTCCTGAAAGTGCAGGTGAGTGAAAACGTACCTCGCAGAAGCCTCCTGCAGGTTACAGTTTTTATCTCCAAGCATCACAGCGTGTTCCTCCAAAGCCCCCTGCACAGAGCAAACAGGCGTTTATGAGGAGAGGGCTCACACACACACACACACACTCACACACACACACACACACACACACCCCCAAAAACGTCACTTTAGCTGTTTTGATTTAAATGTGTTTAAAAACAAAAGGCTACAAAATACTGAAGGCTTAGCTAAAGACCGCTCAGCTGATGAGGCTTTCACTCTGATGGATAAGCAGAATCAGAGTACATCGGAGGGCTCTCTCCTCCGTCTCCTCGCCCTCTTTTTCACCCCCCGGTCTGTTGCGCACCTTGAGCGCGGCCGCCTCGGCTTGAGCCTTCAGGATGTTACTCTTCAGATCCTCCGGGGTGCGCAGCGGAGTCACGCATGGACTGCTGCCCGCACTGTTCAGCCCGCACTTCTCTGTGAGCTTCACCACATCGTCCTGTTGGGTCAGATGTCACAGAGGCTTCATCACGCTGTGCCGCACATGTGTTTGTTTATGCTGAACTGCCAGTGAACTACACAGAAGTGCTGCTGGTCTCCATCAAAGCAAGCAGAGTCTGATTTTAGAGGAAATAACACAAACACTCGCCTGGTTGTTCATGGC